TTTTATTATTTTTACTGTGTGTTTTTGTTGATAGCATGTTGGGTGCGTTTGACATTGTGTTTCTTGAATGTGTTTTTTATTCATTTGTCCAATTTTTACAGTTTTAATATTATTTGTTAAACATGGTTATAATTATTATATCATCTCACGTTTTTTTTTCCTTATTAAAAATTTTAGGGTTTAAATGTGTTGGGTATAAAACAGTAACCATTTATGTTTAAATGTTCCGCCTAACAAATCTTTTAAAAATTACACTTTTACCAATTGTACCGTTTTTTTATGTTTTATAACTGTGGGTGCATTTTGTAACATCTGTGTGTGCGTTATTAATTTTTATGCAGTGTTAGTAATACTATACTCCTAACAGTGTTGGTATGTGCGTTTATCTAGTTGGCGTGTGCATTCGGTAACTTTGCTAGTAATCCACCAAAGCTTTGTTAGATCTTTCTTTTTCGGTTAGAATCTCGGTTAGTAAAATTTTTAAGTTCATTTTTAATTTTTTTTACTGTGTGTGTTTGTTGATAGCAGCGTGGGTGCATTTTGTAACAGTTGTGTGTGCATTATTAATTAACATGTAGTGTTAGTAGTAGGATACGCATTACAGTGTTTAGGTCCGTGCACATAAAGATTAATTCATTTTTAAGTGTGACTAGGTCTGTGCACATAAACATTAATTCGGTGTCTTTTTTTAATGAAGTCACCTTTTCCTGTACAAATGGCCTTGTGTTTGTTTTATTTAAATAAAAAAAATTCAGTTTATGCCTCTTGCGTTACATTAATCTCGTTATTTTCATTGTAGCGAATGATGCGGAGGCGTTTGAATCCCCGCCGGCTGGGTGTTCGTCTGTTATGCATCGAGTTCAACAAGTCCACCCCGTAGTTGTTGCTCCCACTGTTCAAGATCAGCACACCCCTGCCACGGTGCAAAGTGGGACTCCTCCGGTTCCTCCGGTCGCTGATGTGGTTATTCCATCTCTCCATACTCGTGCATCTCCAAGGCATTTGGTGTCGCAGTTTAAACACTTCAGTGCTTGTCAACGTAAAGCAGTGAAGCAAATTGGATTGGGGGCGTTGTTGAATTTTCAGGTGGAAGATTTCCCCAAGCGGTTGAGTCGGTGGTTGTTAGATCAGTTTGATGTTTCTAGCATGTCTGTGCGTTTGGCAGATGGTTCCCTACTTGCACCAACGTTTGCTTTTTCGCACTTAGTAATGAATTCTTGGTGTGCAATCTCTATTTTGCGATTGACTTTCAAAAATGGTTTGTGACTTTCCTCGCACAGACAATGTGTGTGTTTTTCTTTAAATTTGTGTACCTTATACCTCCCGTCGGAAACTTTCTTCATTACAATCCTAGCGACGCAACCAACTCTATTAGTGGTCCACCTTCTCTTCTTCTTCGAAGCCTCTCCTTCACCCAATGTTTCTTTGCCCCTATCCTCCTTAAAACCTTGCCGCGAACACACAACATCCTTTTTTTAGAACAATACCAAAATCGTTCTTTTTATCCGAACTTCGACGCACATCAAATCCGGTTGTTGCGGCATAAATCGTATAAAACTTGATTCCATCTTCTAGTGTGTTAAACAATTGACCTTCGTATGGTTTCATACTACGGTCGCATTCTGTATACCAATATTTCGTACCTTCCGGGCTAATATCCATTCTACAATCCTTCTCTGGTTCATTTGTATCGATGTCGTCTGGACTCCACTCACCTGTAGCATATATTTCGTTAACATATTCATAGTAAACCACACGTAATGTTTTCAACATCAAAATAATTGGTCTATTCGTATGGGGTGATACTTCATTGCACATGCTGAATAGATACATTGCAATAACCCAGAACACACATTGCACATGTCACAACCCAAAGACGCACAGGCCTCTAATTAATCCACCAAAACACGTATTTCTTACTACACCTTCGTCACCCATTAAACACTTTAAAAAACAACATATTCATTTTCGTAAAATTTTCACAGTGCACAAAATAAATTGATATGCAGTCTAATAATAACAGTATTGAACCACGAAAACAGCAAAACCAACACTCAACACATATACTCAACCCTCTAATTCGTTAATTATTTTGTAATCATATCTCCAAATTACAGATGACCAACCTACATCCAAATAATGCTGCCAAATACAACCCCATAAAAAAAAAAAAAAAAAAAAAAAACACGTTTCCGCTACCACCTTTTTGAAAACAACAGCCGCAATTTGCACACTCAATTAATACATATCGCACAGCTCCCTAACGATTTACAAGCCGGGTCTTTAAAAACCAAAACAACCATCTCCGGGAGAAAAAATAAATAACCCTGCGAACTGTCTGTTGAACACAACACTCCATCAAACAAATCAACACACGCAACAACACCACCACGCCGGTACTTATCAAAAACACATAAACAAGAGAATAAAATTCAAACACAGAACCCAAACCCCCGCTCTGTAAAAAAATTCAGTGTAAACCCCATTCTTATTCCGGTCATAAGTCACCCACGGTGCGAAATGCACAAACTTGCACACAACTAATTCACGCCGCACACACTACTCATAAGATATGCACCCCAAACTTAAAGTCTAAAATAGTTATAATACATATGCACATACCTGTGTCCGGTAGCACCATTACTGTGGCCTTTGATGTCAGACAACCGGTTCACGTTGATACTGACAGTGAATGCTAGCATTCGGGAATCATCAACGCATCATGGCTTATTCTATACCGTTAATAAATAATTCTTTCCCAACAATCAGTTGCTAATCATGGAATTTATTCCAAATTATTTGTAACCATAAATATCTATTATATTACAATTACTTATTCACCCTTATGCATAGACTACTACCTAAAATGCATACAGAATCTAATTCAATCTCAACCTTTAATATGCAATGATCTAATGGATATAATTAGATCTCATTAACTCATATATCTATGTGACCTCATGGGATCCGGAGCCTATATATATATATATATATATATATATATATATGTTATAATATTAGGTTAAGAAATTTTATTAAATATTTATTTTTTGAAAAATATATATTTTATCTTATTGAATTGAGTTATAATATTACATTTGTTGTGTAATTTTTAGTAATAATTTAAACCATTGTGTTGCTTTTTTTCCTTTTTCGTATTCATTTAAGTAACAATTATATAGTTAAAATATTTTAAGATGTGTTCAAATAAATACCTGGATATTAAGTAATAAATTATAATTCAGAATAAAAAAAATAATTTAAAGACTTAAAAAGTTATAAATTATTATTATTTATTTAATATGTATTTATGATTACTTAATTCTTTTTCGGCTAACTTTTATTGTTTTTTTTAATATATAAAATATTAGTAAAGTTTTATGTAATGAAATTTATCATAAAAAAGAAATGATCAAGCCGTCACAAATTAAAAAGTAAATATTGGTTGGAGTTTTTTTAGGATTAAGTTAGTAGGCCACTTTGTACATGGCCAATTATTGGTTGTATTTTTTGTGCATGGGCAACTATATGTTGCTTTTTCTAGAGTTAATAGTCCATGTTTTGTAGTGGTGAGACTCATCTTAACTATCTTCAGAATCATGATATATTGGCTACAACTTTGAATGTGGTAGATAGCATAAACAATTATGTGAATGATAAGAATCATGCTTGAGGGTAGGACGTATTTGAGTTGTGATTCGGTTTGTAAATCTGATTCAACTAGAGACATGTTATCTTATTTGCACACCCCAGAGTTCTTAATTAAATGATTTACGTTGTTCTAAAGTCTTAAATCATACTTTGACTATAAAGTTGGGTCACATGTGATGCTATTGAGATTAAGATTATGTAATGGTACAAGACTAATTGTTACAAGGTTGGATGTTTTGAAAGCTCAAATCATGTGTGGAACATTATACAATTAATCAAGTTCCCAAAAAAAAAAACAAAAACAATTTCCTCTAATGCTATCATATGTCATGACAATAAATAGAAGTCAAGGGCAAACAATATCACACGTGGATTTGTTTTTTATAAGGCCGATCTTTAATCATGATCAAATGTATGTAGCAGTCTCGAGAGTAAGTAATCCTACGGGATTAAAAATTTTGATACGTGGAGATTATATACCATATGTTAGTACGACTAAAAATGTTGTATACAAATAAGTTTTCAATGTGTAATTCAATTGCAATGTTAATCGTTTTTTCAATAATTATTTCATATACTATTCTATTGTTTTTTTTTTTTACACTACTGTTAATCGTTTATCTCTAACATATGTCCGTGCATCGCACGGGTGCAACTACTAGTGTATTATTAGTTACTGTAGAGAAATGTTTGATAGAATTAACTATTAACTTTAATTGACGTGTTAAATGATCTTGAATTGGCTAGAACCCTAATTGACATGCAATTACGGGTCACCAACAAATTAATGAATTTGATTGCTCTAAAATAACTTGTTTGAGAATTTAATTACAACTTATAAAAATTTAAGGGTCTAATTAACTTTTTGCAAAAAAATTTAAACGTTTATTTGACCTTTTTCCTAAATTTGTTTTTTCTATAAGTTTAATCAAACATTGATGTAATATAAGTGAGAGACTGAAGTTTGACTTTTTTTTTTTTTTTTAATATTAATATGATATACTATTAATAATTAATGACAATATAAAAATACATCATATCAAATATTTAGCAAAACTTTTAATAAAATTATTTCTCACATGATATATTTAAATGATATGGTACAATACTACAATATCTAATTATGATGGATTAAATTTATCTTTAAGAAGTTTATATCAGAAATATTGAAACGTTTAAAATGCTCCAAAAAAGAAAAGCAATTAACTCACATGTAACATAAAATAACTAGTTTAAATTAAATAGATTTATTGCTTAAATATGATACTTTTAACCAATTTAAACACACATAGGACTTACTCTATAAATACAAACCCAAAAATGATTTTATTCTTACAAAGATGAACAAATTAAAATAAACAAAAGTTTATTTATTGTACAAAATAAATAATTCTCTTAATGCCTAAAGCCATTTCTTTCAAGTTTGAAAATAAAATCAACCTTGTAAATACTACTAAGAAGTTACATGAACATAAAAACTATTGGTTAATACATTTTTCTGGGCAGTATCCTTTCAACTCTAAAAAAATACACAGAAATATTGAAACCAAAAAAACACTATACTCATTCAGTCATTCGTATACCCATTTCACAAGTCTGAGCTGGTAATCTTTTTAGCTATATAACTACCAGCATTTCATTGTCCAAAACGTCAAAATTTTCACTGGGTATCATAATATGTTAGTGCAAACAAGAACGAAGGAACAAATGATCACTCGATTACCTAAACCTTGATGTGTTACTGAGGCTGTTGACATCTACATGCACTTTCTGAGCGATGGATGATAACTTATAGTTTCGAAATCATAATCCAGTTGACTGCATAATGTGTTGAATTTCTGGTAACTTTCATGATCCATCACCTGCAGAAGCATCCAACCCCAGATATGAGAATCAGCACGTCAACTCTGGGGGAAGAGACAGTCATGAAAACCATAAGTGCCATGAAGAAGTTGATAGAATTCATTACCGATTACTGGCCTAAGAATTTTAAAGCATTAGAAGACTGCAGGTAGATTGCCAACTGTAGATATAGCAGACCGCAATAAAGAATCCCTGCAAAAATGCAATTGTTATATTGTGCACCAGGGCGCACAATGCGTTGTGCGCCCTAAAAATCCCCTGTTTCGTATGTACATAATTGTATAGTAGAATACACATAAACTCCTAACATAATACACATAATCTAATATAATACATAATACACATAAATTTTTAACATAATACACATGAACTCTTAACATAATACACATAAATTTCTAACATAATATACATGAACTCTTAACATAATACACATAAACTCTTAACATAATATACATAAACTCTTAACATAATACACATAAACTTTTAGGGCGCACAATGCAATGTGCACCCTAGTGCACGGTATAATTTGCCGCAAAAATGCCTATACCTGAAATGAGAAGGCCAGGAAATATAACTATTGAGAGGTAAGAAATTCCCTAGGTTCTTCACAAAGTAGTGAATAACTTTTTGGTTTCTAGAACACTCTGCAAAAGAGGGCAATTCACTTGGGTAATTAAAAAGACATGCTTACTCTCTTCTCCATTAAAAACTTCTATAAATTCTCACACCATTGTCCTCACCAAGAACAATCCCTCTCCCCCTCCTCACTAACCACCACCACAACAATCTATCATTTCACATTTATTGTTCTAATAATGATCTATATTTCTCCAATACATTGACATCTCATACTAAATATATTCCATGGAAAATCATGCTAAACCAACCACTCAATGAAATTACATTAATATCACTTGGCATGGAAAAATGAGAACTTGAGAAGAAAACAATTAGAAACCATTTTGCAAAGAGGAGCTGAGACTGAGACTGAACTCTAGATTTAGGCAAAGGAGGCTTACCTAGGCCAGTTAAACTAGAACGGCTTCATTCAGATACTTTATATGCATTGTAAATCTCTTCAATCTCCATTTCAGAGTCACTTTCAATTGAATCACTCTCCAAACCACTCATCTCCTCCTCCTCATTCTCATGTGCTAATTGAACACTATAATCTTCCGAATCAATCTCAAATAAGTCCGTGTCACTTTCTTGTAAATCCTCCAAGGTCTCTTCTTTATCTTTCTTCTTTCTGTAGCCAACAAGGCTAAGAACCTTTTCTTTCCAAACAACCAGAGGATGTTTCTCAACCAACTCTGAACCTTCATAAGGCTCGTTCAGGAACACATTAAATCTCCTCCCTCTCTCTGAAACATAAAAGATGCCAAAATGCTTGAGCAATAGTCTCATAAGCTTCTGAGGCATCACAAACTCCCTCCTAAAATGTGTCAAATGATCTGTCACAAGCCTCTTCTCAATCATAAAACTAAGCAATTCATGCATCACAGCCACTGCCCTCTTATCAAATTCCTGTGACCCAGCCTTTAATCCACTAGCATCTGCATAAGGGGACAAATACTCCCTGTTCTGGAAGTTCTCAATCTGACCTCTGTACTTGGACAGCTTCTTATAGTTAGGTGGGAACTTCATTGGGAAAGACAGAGAAAGAAAACCTGGAACATAATCTTCGGGGGCCTTGCTAACACCCAGCACCTTCTTTTCCAACTCAGTAATTGCCCAACTAGACTTCCAATTCACAAGTTCCAAATACTCACCCTCATCATAAGGCACAAAAGGCCTCACAACTCGAAAATATTCGGGATATTTGTGCACCCAATGGCTCCTAAAATCCAGTGGCAGCCCTATATCCCTCCTGAAATGCACAATCTTATCCAGACTAATACGCTTACCAATTGACATCATTAGCATCCGAGTCACAAACTCTGCAGCCTTATCACTATTCTTTTCTATGAGTTCTTCCTCTTCATGCAGCAGATTTTCAGCTTCTTTAGTCATTCCGCACCATAAAATTCCCCTCTGGTCCTTATAAAGCTCAAAAAGCTTGGGACATTTCCGAAGGAAAACTGAGAACTTGTGAGGTTTTGGGAGGTTAATTTGCCTCCGGTACTGATCAAGGGAACGTACAGGGATGATTTGCTCGGACTCTTGCTTCAGAGTTTCAAGTATGAAGAGGATTTTGGAGAGAATTTTGTGCTTCTCTACAATAATTTCAAGGTCATGCACTCGCTTCTTCTTGCTCCGGTCTTGCACTCTCTTGCTGGTGGTCATTGATCGTCGGCATTCTCTAAACAGTGAAGAATGGAGTTTGCCAAGAAGACCAACTTGGTGAGGCATGAGTCAGGGGATATCCACCACCAATCCTAATAGGAAAGAAACAATGCTTTAAAACAAATTTTCATCTACAAGTAAATTGCTATTTTCAAATTATTTATGAATCAGTTCCAAACGAAAAAGAAAAAGGCAAACGAAAAAAGAAAAAAGCACCAGTAAACTAGAAAGCATATTAATTTAATAAGAAAATGTAACTATAGACATTTCAGACATAAGTACATAGATTTTAAAAAAAATGGCAGAACCTGCCATAAAAATTACATGATTACAGATCCTTACAAATATACATTAAAGAAAAGGGTTATTGGAAGGGTCACAAGTAAAAGTAAATGCAATTTGCTAGTAAATAATTGATTCACAAGAACGAAGAAAATAATACTCCTAGTTAGTTTAGACTGTTTTCAGCTAGGGAAAATATCACCTTGGCCTTAGTTTGCTCCCTTCTTGGATGTTGACAGACTATTACACAATACAAATGACCATCTATTTCTTAGGGGTGGACGTTTCGGTATTTGGTCTGGAATTGGTTCGGTTTAAGAACCCCAATTCCCAACATTTCCTAGTTACACCTAGTCACAGTAAGACATTTTCCACAAAGCATTTTAAATTATGAAATACAAACTTATTATAGATTAAAAGTATTTGATCTTTCTGTGGGGGAAACAACCTGCAAGTAAGATACAGAAACTGTTTCAGTCTCCAGTGATATTTCAGCAAGAATATCTTCCATTGCACTCACCATTATCCCAGGGTCAGCGGTATCTTCTTCTCCCAACCGTCCCAGAGTGCAAGTTTTCCCTGTCCCAGTTTGCCCGTATGCCATGAGTGTTCCATTATAACCATCCAAGACATTCTGCCAAATGCATCCACAAATGCATTTCATATGACATAGACATATAGTCCATTTATTCAAGTGGCCAAATCTCATTGGACATCTAAAACTTTAAAGCAGTACTTTAAAGACTGAATTGTAGCAGGATCAAGTAAATTTAAATGCTCAATTCCTCATACTCTTTATGTAAGTACTGATAGCTTATCCATTTGTTACATGAGTACACTTTATGAAGAGCTTTCAAAAAAACAATACATTATGTGTCACATCTGTACTCTGTTGTAAAATAGAAGAATTAATCATATACTTGCCACCTGCTCCAGTCTCTTATAAGATCAAAATCATAAAATTCGTAGGTAAAACTAACAGAAGCAGAATTTTCATAGTATGAGTTCACTGGTGGAAACTGGAAAATCAATCACAGACACAAAATTGGGATGGAAATTGGAAGTTATGATTGTATTGAAACAATTCCAGAATATTTTCAGCAGTGAATCAGATAGAGCAACCAAGATGGTAAACTGCCTAGCAACCATATCGGACAAACCTAGGAAAAAAAAAAAAGGGAACGGCTTTCATCCATATTATATTATTAATATCCGGAGAAGGGTGGGGCTGGATACCTTAGAGTTCGACTGCAGCAGGCGTCCGGCGATGAGGATTAGCGGCGGAGCAGGGCAGCCGGCAACAGCGTCAGCCGAGACTGGAGGTGGAGGACGACTATCGATTGCAGCAGAGCAGGGCAGCCGGCAGCAGGCGTCCGGCGAGGCAGGAGGTGGAGGCGTCGGCGACGAGGATTAGCGGAGGAGGATTTTCGTCTTTGGAAACGAGGATTGTGACTTGTGAGTGGAAAGGGACCCAAAATAAAAAAGGCAAAATGCAATGCAGTTTTATCTTAAAAACAACATAATGGTTATATTATCTACTATCTACTATATATATATATATATATATATATATATATATATATATATATATATATATATATATATGCTATCTACTTCTATCTAGTATCTATCTACTATCTACTATAGTACTAAGAGCCCAAGAGAGTTAGGCTTATAATGGGTAAAAAAAATGGTGGTCAAATTTTTTAATCAAATGAATGGTTCAGATTGATCAGATTTTAATTTTTTCTTAAGATTTTCTAATTTATCCTTAGATTATTCGTTAACTTTTCTGTTAAATATTATCTTTTCCGTTACTTTCTGTTAGTTCACCGTTAACTTACTCATTGATTTCAATAAGAAAGGTCTTAGGTTCGAATCTCATCCGAATCAAAGTTGACATAATTAGTACTTTATTTTGTCTTATTAAATTAAATAATAAGTTAGTAGCTACAAAAAAAATAATACATATGCATTTCTTTAATTTAGAATTATGTGTCTACAATATCGTTATTCAAAAAAAATTATTTATTAAAATAAGAGAAATAATTTCATTAGTTATATTGTGTTTATTTTTCTCCAATATAAAAATTCTTTACATTCAAATTCATCAATTGATTATGTTCGCTACATTGTCCCTACAATGTCTTTACTAAAAAAAAAATTATTCATTATCAATAAATTAATTAAGAGACATAAATTTATTAGTTCTATTGTCTTTATATTTCTCCAAGTAAAAATTCTTTACATTCAAATTTCAAATTCATCAATTGATTATATTCACTACATTGTCTATTATTTTTTGTGCACTATTTTTTAACTAAATATAAAAGTTATAATACAAAATAATGCTATATAGTTGTTTACCAAGTATTTTATTAATACCATGAAAAATTTTAAAAAATATAATTAATAAAGCCAATCATATTAACTATCTGAGGGATTTGTTGACAATGAGAGTATTTAAATCACACAACAAATTGAAGTGAGAATTACCTCGCAATGTACTTGTTTGACAATCAACAATTACCGTTAGCGGATTATATTAGCGAATTTGACCAGCGAATTATATCAACGGTTGATAAAAAGATATTTGAAAAAATTAGTTGTTGTTTAGATTAACATGTAAAATGACCTAAGAGTATACATATATTTAATAATAATAATAATAATAATAATAATAATAATAATAATAATAATAATAATAATAATAATAATAATAATAATAATAATAATAATAATAATAATAATAATAATAGTTTTGAAAAATAAAAAAATAAAAAAATATATAATTAAGCCAATCATATTAACTACTTGAGGGATTTATTGACAAAAAGAATATTCAAATCACACAACAAATTGAAGTAGGAAACTACCTCGCAATGTCCTTGTTTGGGAATAGCAATTAACTTTTCAATATTAGTATATATTTAATATTTTATGCCCTAATTTTAATTTACTTTTCCTTATGTCCCGTATACAATTATTTAATTCACAGTTATAATCAATTATTTTATTGACAATTATAATCAATATTGACTATATTATCTTGCATTTGTAAACTTAAAATTGTCTATTTAAATACGTAAATTTAACATTCAAATTATCTATGCACGAACAATTCCAATATAATCTTACCTTGATATACTTTAAAGTACTTATTTAAAAAAAAAACATTAGGCATTATTCCAATCGTAAAAAACTAGTATATATATATATATATATATATATATATATATATATATATATATATATATATATATATATATATATATATATATATATATATATACACTAATAAGAGCCAAGAGAGTTAGGCCTATAATGGGTAGAAAAAATGGCGGTCAAGGTTTTTAATCAAATGAATGGCTCAGATTGATCAGATTTTATTTTTTTCTTAAGATTTACTAATTTATCCTTAATGAATATGATTATCCGTTAACTTTTCTGTTAAATATTAGCTTTTCCGTTAATTTCTGTTAGTTCACCGTTAACTTATTCATTAATTTCAATAAGAAAGGTCTTAAGTTCGAAGTTCGAACCCTATCCCAATCAAAGTTGACATATTTAGTACTCTATTTTACTTTTATTAAATTAAATAATAATTTAGTAGTTAGAACAAAAAATAATACATATGCATTTTGATCTTTAATTTAGAATTATGTATCTACAATGTTTTTATTCAAAAAAATTATTCATTATCAATAAATTAAATAAGAGAAATAATTTCATTAGTTATATTGTATTTATTTTTCTCCAATATAAAAATTCTTTACATTCAAATTCATCAATTGATTATATTCGCTACATTTTCCCTACAATATCTTTATTAAAAAAAAATTATTCATTATCAATAAATTAATTAAGAGAAATAATTTTATTATATTATATTGTCTTTATTTTTCTCCAATGTAAAAATTCTTTACATTCAAATTCATCAATTGATTATATTCACTACATTGTCTATTATCTTTTTTTGTGCACTATTTTTTAAATTAAATATCAAAGTTATAATACAAAATAATGTTATATATTTATTTACCAAGTATTTTATTAATACCATGAAAAAATTAAAAAAATATATAATTAATAAAGTCAATCATATTAACTACTTGAGGAATTTGTTGACAAAGAGAGTATTCAAATTACACAACAAATTGAAGTAAGAACTATTTCGTAATGTCCTTGTTTGACAATCAGTAGTTAGTGGCTAGCGTTAGCGGATTATATTAGCTGATTTGACCAGCGAATTATATCAACGGTCGGTAAAAAGATATTTGAAAAAATTAGCTTTTTAGATTAACATGTAAAATGACCTAAGGGTATACATAATAATAATAATAATAATAATAATAATAATAATAATAAATAATAATAATAATAATAATAATTGTTTAATATATATATATATATATATATATATATATATATATATATATATATATATAATTAAGCCAATCATATTAACTACTTGGAGATTTATTTACAAAAAGAGTATTCAAATTACACAACAAATTGAAGTGGAAAACTACCTCGCAATGTCCTTGTTTGACAATCAACAATTAGCTCTTCAATATTAGTATATATTTAAAATTTTATGCCCTAATTTTTATTTGCTCTCCCTTATGTCCCGTATTTGGTTTCAACCATACCTAAACAATTATTTTATTGACAATTATAATCAATCTTGACTATATTATCTTGCATTTGTAAACTTAGAATTACCTATTTAAATACGCACATTCAACATTCAATTATTTATGCATGAACAATTCTAATATAATCCTGCATTGATATACTTTAAAGTACTTATTAAAAAAAAACATTGGGCATTATCTCAATCGCGCAATGCGCGTAAAAAACTAGTATATATATCTACTATACTAATAATCTACTATACTAATAAGAGCCCAAGAGTGTTAGGCCTATAATGGGTAGAAAAAATGACGGTCAAGTTTTTTAATCAAATGAATGGCTCAGTTCGATCAGATTTTATTTTTTTCCCTTAAATTTCCTAATTTATCCTTAATGAATATGATTATCCGTTAACTTTTCCGTTAAATATTATCTTTTCCGTTAATTTCTGTTAGTTCACCGTTAACTTACTCATTGATTTCAATAAGAAAGGTCTTAGGTTCGAACCCCATCTCAATTAAAATTGACATAATTAGTACTCTATTTTACTCTTATTAAATTAAATAATAATTTAGTAGCTACAACAAAAAATAATACATATGCATTTCTTTAATTTAGAATAGAATTATGTGTCTACAATGTCTTTATTTAAAAAAATTATTATTAAAATAAATTAAATAAGAGAAATAATTCCATTAGTTATATTGTATTTATTTTTCTCCAATATAAAAATTCTTTACATTCAATTTCATGAATTGATTATATTCGCTACATTGTCCCTACAATGTCTTTATTAAAAAAAATTTTATTCATTATCAATAAATTAATTAAGAGAAATAATTTTATTAGTTATATTGTCTTTATATTTCTCCAATGTAAAAAATTCTATACATTCAAATTCATCAATTGATTATATTCACTACATTGTCTATTATCTTTTTTGTGCACTATTTTTTAATTAAATATCAAAGTTATAATACAAAATAATCCTATATATTTATTTACCAAGTATTTTATTAATACCATGAAAAACTGTAAAAAATATAATTAATAAAGTCAATCATATTAACTACTTGAGTGATTTGTTGACAAAGAGAATATTCAAATCACACAACAAATTGAAATGAGAACTACCTCGCAATGTCCTTGTTTGACAATCAGCAGTTAGCGGTTAGCGTTAACGGATTATATTAGCAAATTTGACCAGAGAATTATATCGACGATTGGTAAAAAGATATTTGAAAAAATTAGCTGTTTAGATTAACATGTAAAATGACCTAAGGGTATACATATGTTTAATAATAATAATAATAATAATAATAATAATAATAATAATAATAATAATAATAATAATAATAATTGTTTAAAAAAAAAATTAAGCCAATCGTATAAACTACTTGGGGGATTTATTGACAAAAAGAGTATTCAAATCACACAACAAATTGAAGTGGGAAAATATCTCGCAATGTCTTTGTTTGGCAATCAGCAGTTAGATCTTCAATATTAGTATATATTTAATATTTTATGCCCTAATTTTTATTTGCTCTCCCTTATGTCCCGTATTTGGTTTCAAGTATACCTATACAATTATTTTATTGACAATTATAATCAATCTTGACTATATTAGCTTGCATTTGTAAACTTAGAATTGCTTATTTAAATACGCAAATTTAACATTCAATTATCTATGCATGAACAATCCAATATAATCTTGCCTTGATATACTTTAAACTATGTATTTAAAAAAAAAAAACATTGGGCATTATCCAATTGCGCAATGCGCGTAAAAAACTAGTATATATATATATATATATATATATATATATATATATATATATATATA